CAAAATTGTTGCCAGTCGACTATTTTGAATGAAACTGCAAAACAAAATGATCAGTCAAAGCTTGGTGTGAAGAAAAACAAACGTATACCATAATGGCTTGTCATTGTAACAACTTTAAACCAAATCGGCCAAGAAATGACAGACAAATGAACAGAAGTCCCTGTTTCAGACATCTAACAGAGACTAAAAATATACCATGAAGATCCAGTGTTCCATTTCTAACAGCCAGAGTTTTAGCACCATACATCGGCATCTCAAGCGATCTAACATGACCATACATGGTAATTATTGCTTTATGCTGGAATGGTTCTTCTTCAGTTCCAACTTGTAGAAGACCACCATCAGTTATTAGGATATTTTCAGCTTTCAGTTCTACATCAGCTTCATCAAAGATTAAAGCACCACCTGCATGCACACAGAAAGAACGTAAGAAATAACAGCAATTCGTATCATGTGCTTATACTAACCCTTTTGAATGCCATGAATTTTTCATGCAAAATAACTGAGCAGGATGTGTCAATTGTTTTCATGCAATTGAGTATTTCTAATGGCAGGACAATGCAAGGGGGTATTGTTTGCTGGCTCAGATCATTTGACCATACATTTTTGTATGGCTGCCTTTGAGGACCTAAGTGATCAACTTGCACTTATTTAATGCCAGTTCTATTCATGTTCTGGTTGTATGTGCATGCCATATAAAAAGAGGTTCTCAGAAAAATGAACCTGACAATGTTATAACATGACTGTTTCTACAATAAGACTAGACTGCACTAAGCAGTGTACAGTGGCGTGAACAAAAAACGAACTTGAAAATGGTTATGGTGATGGAAAACTGATTTAAAACTAATAATCCCATGCAAGGGCTTCTTCGCTAATGTTTATTAAAAAAGTAGCAGAAAAGATAACAGGAACAATTCAAAATTGCTAATTTATGCAAATTATGTATTTAGTATGTACCAATTTTAATTCTAAGCTAATCCGGCATGCATATTGTCCCTCAGCATCGATGTACATCACGTTTCATTGAAATGAGATGATTGGATCATGAGATATCATTGGAACAAACATACATAAAGAGACGGACAGGGTATACTGCGAATATTCCCACTGTCTATTTTGCAGAGTTTTGAATAAAATTACTAAATTTGACTGTGTCAACTCCAAAAGTGCCCAATTACCTTGAATTAGTAGCATCTTTAAGACAGGGGTGTCAATATCTAACACTATGCGCTGTCCCTGTTGAATGACAACAAAGTCACCCTCAATAGGCAAGGGATTTCCTCCCCAAGTCCATGTACTGGACCACAAATCAACATATTCAAAATCAGCATCATCCTATGTAATATAAAAAGACAATTAAAATGTGTTACTAATTTAATTAAAGCAAAGAAATCAATTACACTGAATAAAATTGACATCAAATATTTCAACTTTATTAGTTTTCATGTAAACTAATGTATGGAGTATAGCAATGTAACAAATGATCTATATTCAAATATGGTAATGACACATAGATTAGAAATTCCATTGCGAGGAAACATAAAATGCAATTGATGCCACATCAACAAGTATATATCGCAGAGGTCATCACCATGACAACAAAGACTTACCTGTGTTGCTATCCCATCACCATTTACCAAAACTCTTACTTTAGTTTCAATACTTCTAGAATTGGGTTCAGTTTCACAGATAATCTCAAAGGTACTTTCTGATGTTATTACACACAAACTTCCATCTATGGTAACAGTGTTCTCACCATCACTACAATACAAATAATCCTCAATCATTTAACCATCGGAATTAATTTAAAAGAGACTGAAATCTACTGTAAACCCAGCAATCAATGTTATTTCTTGTCTATATCGACAGGAATAAACAAATGTACTGTGATTCCCAAGAAAATTCTTCTTGAAATTTATTATACCTTATAGGTTATTAGTAATTTAGTATACCTAACAGCACTTACCGAAATCCAGATCCAGTAATTGTAATAGGAGTTCCACCACCTGTACCACCTCTCCTTGGGCTGACTGATGTTATAATGGGTGTGATAGAACTATCATAGGTCAGTGCATTAGATTCAATGGCTACAGCTGTACTTGTTGAAATGAACACTTGTATATCACAGGTATATGTACCAAGTGCTGAAATGCAATAATACGAGAAATATCACCTGAATATTGCTATGTGTAACAAGTCCCTGTTTGTATTATAGATGCAGGATATATATATGACCTAATATGTGTAACGATATATGGATATTATACTGAAACATACCAATACAAAATATATCACTTAAATATTGTTATGTGTGTAATGAATGTGATAGAGCTATGCATTATATACAATCACTACAGCTATCAGAAAGGGATTGGCACAATACGGCGCTGTCCAATCTGGATTGAACGTTTTGAAGACATTTCTCATGAATATTAATTTATGCATATTAAATAATTATTTTAACCAATCGTGTCATGCAACTTCCCCCGGATAGCTATGTTTGTTGAACTCACCAAGATTGTTGTTGGCAGGTATTTCACACTGTAAGTCTGTAGCTGTAACACTACTAATAGGGCAATTATTGCCATCAATGGTTACCACAGTGTATTCATCATCAAAACCATCACCAGTGACTACAAGGGTACAAGCACCACCAAAGCTACCTGCAAACAAGAATACATGATATAATCTGTATCAATAGTTGAGAATAATTATATATACCAATCAATTACTGTCAGCAAAACATGACATCTACAACACGTATTAATTCAATAAGAGGACCCACAAAAATTTTCATTCTTTTCTAGTTAGCAATATGTAATGAAGCTTGTGAATGAACAAAATAATAAATTTAGGGGAGGGGGATTTACTTACAGGTAGCAGGAGAAGTAGATGCAATCATCAAGTTGTACTCAAATGTGTGAGAATTAGATGTGGCAAGACCTTTTCCAGCAACAGATACCTTCACTTCAAATGTTCCCGCTGAGTGCACACCAGTATCACATGTAATCTGAGTTGAAGATGATGAGATCACAGTACATGTAACATCATCAAATGTTACTGAAACATCAGATGATGTGGAACTGAATCCAGTACCAGTGATTGTAATAGTTGTCCCACTACCACCATTAGATGGAGACAGTCCTGTTACTTCAGGGGTCTGGGCAGCAGAGAAAGTATACACTTCAGGTGAGTATTCAATTCCACCAGATGTGACTGTGAGATCAACACTACCATCAGCATGGGCTGAAGTGATACACACAATTTCTGAG